GGGTCCTGGGATTGAGCCCCACATCGGGCTCCTGACTCAGCAGGGAGTCTGCTTCTCCCTCTCCCACTGCCTCTCCCACTGCTCATGCTCTCTCTCTCTCTGTATCTCTGTGTCTCAAATGAATAAATAAAATCTTAAAAAAAATCTTAAAAAAATAAAATACTGTTAAAGGAAAAAATAGAAACAATATCCACACTTCCCTCTAAGTTCCAATTGTCACACTTCTGAAAATTCAATCTAAGTTTTTGTCTATACAAACATAAGCTGCCTAACTTATGTATATAGCTCTATACATTAGATGCCGACTGCAAGAGGTGCAGCAGTTCTGATTATCATAGAAAAATAGCACTGCTACTTACTACAATGATTTTTTAAGAAAATTTAGTTGTTAAAACATTAGCCAAACCATGAGTTTGTTGGTTGGTGTATTAAAACAAATAGCTAACTCCCTGTTGGTTAAGAACACAGAGCCTGGAGCCAGATTGCTGGAATAAAATCCTAGCTTCATCATTTCTTCATGTGGTGTCCTGATTCCTCACATATAAAAGAGGCATAAAAATGGCATCTTTCTCATATGATCACTGTAAAGATTATATGAATTAATATACACAAAGCACTTAGAAAAGTGCTTGGCAAACAATAAACACTGCATGTTCTGGTGATTATTACTATTTTCAATAAGTACTTTTTAACTGAACACAGATACATTGTAAATCATTTCCCAGTGAGTATTTAACTTGCATGCACCATAGGGGGAAAAAAAGAAATAAATGATGATCATCAAATGGAGATATAGTAACACTCCCTTATAACAGATTTTAGATGAAAATATGCTTAATCTTTGCCAATAGTGTTTCATCAGCAATAGAATAGCCACATAATCAGATTTAACCAGGCAAAATGAAATTATCTAAACCTGATTCTCTTGCAATATTTGAAAAAAAAAAAAGACGATTTCAGATTTAATAAATGAAGACTTTTCAGTTTTAGGTACTTTTGCTAAGAAGCTTGGAGTACTTTACAAATATTCTAATTAACCTTTGACATATTCAATGAAACAAGAGACATTCACCCTTTCTATTTTTTAAATATATATTATTTAAAATGATTTAGCAGGCTGAGACTACAGACAATTTAGAAGCTCAAAAATATCTGCCATTCAAACAGTTCCATTTAAGAATTATTAAGATTTGTGTCTTAAAAATGGAAAATCTATTAAAAAGGAATAAATCTAACTACTACCAAAATAGTACTTTTTGACCTAACAAAAAATAAACATTACATAACAGGGCATCACAATGGACAGAACTCAGGAGTAAAGAGGAAAGAAACCCTCATTCTGTGCTGGCTCTTTCACTAACAAAATGTGACCTTCTGTGTGTCTCCAAAGTTAGGACCTACATAAGAAAAATGAAGGAGTTGGTCCAGAAAGTAGAATGTAGGGGTTGAAGAATCCTTAAGGGAAACTCTTCCAACCATGAAGTTCTTCTTGTAGGTTTCAAAGGTGGAAAACTGTGTCCTAGGGTGCTTGAGCCACCTACAGGTATTTCTAACAGTTAAAAAGGTTATTCTGTAGCCACATTTTGGGAGTCTTTCTGTATATCTAAGCTCCTCAGCTTCTCAAATAGTCTATAATTCCAAATGTGGAATACAATGGAGCCCCACAAGAGCAAAATTTCTAAATGATTAAAGAGAACTTTAACTGGAAGCAGAAGGGTTCTATTCTCTGTTCCATTTTGTTTGCCATCATTAAGCCCCAACAAGAATAGCAGGAGGGGGTCAAAGAAATTTAGGATGTTTCCTGTACCTTCAACTTGACCAAGTCCTCTACCAAGTGGTAGTCTTCTTACTGAGAAACAGTTCTGCCCTCAACTCTTCAAAGGAGTCCATGCCAGCTAGACTTCCCCTCCAGCACCACAGGGAGTTCAGGTCAAGAACAACCTTCTACTCAGAAGAAAGAAGTAGATATGGTTGAATTAAATCCATGACCTCCAGCTCCATAGAGAAGAGCTACTCAAATTGTAGTATGAAGAACATGCTAACTCAGGAAACATTGTTTTACCAAGCTGTGATGAGACAAGAAAAGAAATTGAGAGTAGTAATTGAGAATTTTTGCAGTTCATGGATATCGTGGTAGCACCAAGTACATGATCGGTGGATACTTCTCCTTGAGTGTAGATTACTTTGAAGGCTGTTGAGTGCTTTTGGTGAGCCACATGTTATACAAGCTGTATGCTAGTCACATGTAGTAAGACCACAGATAGGTCTGCCATGTACTGAGAAATTAGACAACCCCCCACAGCAGATAATTTGAGAACATACCTAATGGGGCTCAATGACAGGCTTGTAGGGTTTGAGTTGAACCTTTTCATCTCCCTCCCTGTCCTTCAAGTCCTTGTCCATTTACCATGAAGGGTTCCATCACTTATTTTGTTTTGTCCTCAACTTCCTTAAAATAAAAATCCAGTTTTTTAACTATTTACAACATTCATTTTTAATAAAAGTTAAATATGATTAAGAATGGATGTTTCATGGGATTTTTTTAATGTGGAGGCTGACTCTGAGTTTGCGTTAACATGATACAAAATAGCAAACTTCTTCAGGGAATAATACGAGTCGATGAATTGAAGCTATTGTCAAAGGTAGAGCAAATAAGATTAAAATCATTCTCAGGGGCACCTGGATGGCTCAGTCGTTAAACGTCTGCCTTCGGCTCAGGTCATGATCCCAGGGTCCTGGGATTGAGCCCCACATCGGGCTCCCTGCTCAGCAGGAAGCCTGCTTCTCCTTCTCCCACTCCCCCTGCTTGTGTTCCCTCTCTCTCTGTGTCTCTGTCAAATAAATAAATAAAATCTTTAAAAAATCAAAAAAATAAAAAATAAAATCATTCTCAGGGGAAATTTGGCAATAAGGACATCCATTTCCCCAAGATCATCATGGTACAGTGGAAAGAGCATTGAATTGGATATTGGGAGTCCTGGGGTCAAGTATCAGCCTGATACTGACTAGTTCTGTGACTTCCCTGAAGTCTCCAAACCTTCTATACCAAAATTTCCTCCTCTGTGAAAACAGCAGTTTGAATGAGTCAATTTCTAAAGTCTCTGACAACTTTAAAATTTCATACTTCTAAGAAAATTATTTTCCCTTAACGTAGTTTCCTGAAGGAGGAAAAAATTTTCCCAGCTGTGCATTTACTACCAAAAGACAGACTGACCTCCCCGTACTCCTTCGAGTAGCTCTTTATTACAAATTTAGTGTTATCCATCTCATAGAGGTTGAAATCACACAACAAATGAGGCATTGACCCTGACACCAAAAACCATGCCTTTGTCATGGAGACATGAGCTCCAATTTGCAGATATCTCTGGAGTTGAGGAATAATTCACAGGGGCCTAATCAGGATAGAAAGGCTTCCATAAAATACCAGTATCTATAAGGTACTGTTTATTGAATTGTTGTCTGTCTCACAAGAACTTTCTCAGGGGGATCTTCAAATGCCTAACAATCCAAAATAAAGCCATCTGTCCTCCCTTAACTCATAAAGCCTACAGCATTAACCCAGGTCCTAAATAGAGTTAGGAATTAACTGAGCCCCCAGGAACACTTGAGCATGAATAACCACGCCAGAGTTGATTCCACAGGTATTCCATTTATTGCTTATGGCCCCAAATCATGTTTGAAGCTTCTCTGCACTCCTGAGATGATACGCCCTATGCCTGCCACAGAAGCTATCTCATGTGTAGGGGCTGCAATTAGCTCAGAATTATTAGTAATTCCCATAATGTTTTTCATTTTCAAAATAAATGGAGGGGAGTGTTGATGCAAATGAAGACAAATTCAGAAAAAAATTGGAAAAATATGGAAATTACAGAGTAAAATGTAAATGTCTAGTCATAGGTCATTATTCAAAAGAATAAAAAGTCCATATCCAAGCAATTTGAAAACTAAGGCAGTATATTTTAACAAAGAAAGTAATGAGATAATGGAATGTATAGATGCATATATCATATGCATCATATTTATGGTTTATTATTGAATCTATCAAAAAGCTGAAGAATAAGGGGAAAGGCATCATAGAACACTTTGAAATGAAATATTCAGGCCTCATTTTCTAAAAAAGAGTTGCAATTAAAATTCAATATGTACATAAAAAAGCATATACAGTACGAAGAATTTTCTGATCTGAATTTTAACTTGTAAAGAATATTTGTATTCTAAGTTTTCCAGAAAATATAAGAGTGAATGGCAGTTCTTTCATATACAAAGCAGCAATAGCATGTGATTTATCTCAGGGCTGTCTCCAGCAAAGGCATGCTGTATCAGGTATAGAGACGTAGACACCAGAAAAGAGTAAAACAGTACCTGCTGAAGTTAGGGGATGAAGGGAAATGGAGTCAATGAGTAGAGTCCTGGAGTGAACTAGTCATTCCTTGATCCAGTATGCCTCGAGGATTTGTTCTTAGTGGCCTCAATTCGTTAGGCAAATGCTGTCATCGATACCAGTGTTCTTTCTTCCCTAACAACAAAAGGACTTTGAGCCAATGTCTTATATTGCTAATCTGTAAGATCTCCTTTTCCTCCATAGCTGCCTCAGTGCTTCTAATGTTTCCCTGTAATAAATTGGGCTCTTCTCAACTACAAACTGAAGTTCAAGGATCAACCATACTGGTTTCCTATGTGAAAAGAAAGAATCTCTATACTATTTGGACCACTGGGATTTTGAATAGCTTTAGGACGCGTTTTCTCAGCACTCTTCTGCTGGTGGGTGTTCTTTCTTTCCCTGCAGAAATCAAAGATATCCACCTATGAGAAGATGTGGGCTTTTATGAGCAGCAGACAGCAGACTGCCCTGGTTAAAAACAGTGATGAAGGGATCCACCGAGTACTCACCACTGACTACGCCCTGCTGATGGAGTCTACCAGCATTGAGTATGTGACACAGAGAAACTGCAACCTCACTCAGATTGGGGGCCTCATTGACTCCAAAGGTTATGGAGTGGGAACACCTATCGGTAAGAGAAGCAAGGCATGAGCCAAGACTGAGATGGGCAATGTCAATTATGAAGTTTAGAAGGGAGTAAACTCAGAAATATCTACTCCACACTCTGAGAAGTTCTACAATAACTTTAGTGGACTAATCAATAAGGGAAATGCCCATGTAGGTCAGAGGTGTGTTTTGAATCGACAATTCCCAGATATTTAACTTAATGAACTTTCCACCCACTGTCTCTTTCAAGCTCTACCATTAGATATCTAGTTGAGTATATCAATTTTATTATTTTACTCTCAAAAAATATCTTTAAAAGAATATCTTCCTGATTAATCCTCTTGACATTATTGTCTTCAGTACCTATACATGCCTATCTAGTTTTTCTATCTTAAATTATATTGGAATATAACAAAATTAATTATGCATATAGATGCATATAGATGCTAAAAGTTGAAAGGTTAGAATTCTATGTCAACAGAAGTAAAACCAAAGTTATATCTATAAAAGAAGAAAGATAAAGATTAAATTATAATTCTTTGGCAATATGTTTGATACAATCAAGGATAACTATCTAAAACCTCCAAATATTCCCATTTCTGTATTTTGTGCTACTGTTTTCCCTAGGGATATTATTGCCTTGTAGGGATACAGACCCATATAGCAAGGTTTTCTTGCATGTCTAACATGTAGAACTATATTCTATATTTAAGGGACAATTATGGTTTCTCTCTCTATAGAAAACTGTACCATATATGGTTTGGGTATGGTGGTAATCTGCTTTTCTCAAGTGAATGATTACTAATTTTGTGATAAGCATTCCAAGGGAGAGAAATCTGGGGCCACCTTAGACCACTGGGTAGTCTAATAAGCAGAAATCTTGGTTACAGTCAAGTCATATTATTAAGGATCCAAGATTTTCTAGTTTCTATTATTATTTTTGTTGTATGAAAGGGATTGTCCAGTCCAACCCTCAACATTAGACAAGGATCACAAACTCAAATGCCTATAGAGGCTAAGGAGATATCATAACTGAATAAACTTGTTTGCTTGAGGAAGCAATAGGGAATGGTAGCAACTATGGAAACTTAGAGACCACATGGTCATCCAAAGGGGGCAGCTGTCTTTCAGGCTAGTCAATTGCATATGTGTGAATTTGAACACAAGTTTGTTAGATGTTCCATTTTTCATTAAAAAAATCAGATTTTAGGTGGACTGTTCTAAATGTTTGGACACTTAGCCACAAATTCATTAAAAAAAAAAGACTACAGGGCGCCTGGGTGGCTCAGTTGGTTAAGCGACTGCCTTCGGCTCAGGTCATGATCCTGGAGTCCCAGATCGAGTCCCGCATCGGGATCCCTGCTCGGCAGGGAGTCTGCTTCTCCCTCTGACCCTCTTCCCTCTTGTGCTCTCTATCTCTCATTCTCTCTCTCTCAAATAAATAAAATATTTAAAGAAAAAAAAAGAAATTGAAATTAAAAAAAAAAAGACTATATATATCCCATATTCAACTTTTGATCAATATTAATTTAATTAACCAGATAAAGATCAACTTTCTTTACCCTTTACTATGAATATGCAACCAATTTGACTCCCTGCTCTCTAGCTAGTGTTAGAAATATATGCTATGGAGAAATTAACTTTATTATTATTGTTACTATTGTTATCAAGACTGTATTCTAAATAAACCTGAAAAATGATTGAGCTAGGGAACCTATAACTACTTTCTTGTCCCTTTATTTTCAATAACTTTCCCTTATGAAAATACCAATATTGCTAGTAAAGAGTATATTTTTTTTTCCCAAATGGTAAACTCTCCTTTGATTAAGTGAACATGTTCTGCAGGAGGCTCAGTGGGATTGTTAGACACGAATTAAAAGAATGCTATGACTCTTTTTGTAAAACAATCCACTATCTCCCTAACCAAGCTTTGTCACCTCATTTTCCATAGTAGGGATGGGGAGAGTTAGGCAGATGCTATATTTTTATATCACACAACTGCTGATTTTAGTTAAATGGGCCATAAGTCAGACAAAAGTACCATAAGTGGGTACATTTACCTGAATCTTCAAAATCAAGACCTTAAGATTGATTGTGTTATATTCTACATCTTCTCAGAGGAGCAACTGTAGTTTCATAATAGAACCATGTTTAGATTAAATTATAGAGTTGAAAACTGCACTTTCCTCATTTTATCTTCCACCTCATCAGCCCACCTTGACCACCTTCAACACTACTCCTTGCTCACCAAATTTCCTATCTGGTAATAACGAGAGAAAATAACATTGTGTATCATTCCTTCTAAGAATATTTGTACTTTACTATGAGACTTTTAATGGACATTTCTTCTAATGAATGAATATAACACTAAAGTTAAAGTTTGGGGGTAGGGAGAATGGAAAGGAAGCAAGGGGCTTCTTTCTGCGACAGCCCTGAATTAATGCAACAATTTGAAAATGACTTTGCCCTCTTGTAAATGAGTCTCAGTGAGTATCACTGCATTGTATATTATATGATATAGAGATTTGAGTGTTCTGAGGCAGTCTACGTCTTTCTACCCTCATCCATACTCTGACACACAAGTTCCAAAGTTGAAGAGCTCTTCCCCCTCCCTAGATAAAAAGAAATACACTCAAAGAATTTTTCATACTGGTTATAAACCTGTCAGGCTTTTAAACCAAAAACAATGAAGGAATAGTCGGAACAGATGGCAGACCTCAGAGAGAATACATCCACTGGGAATACAGCTGCTGGATAAATTTGTGAGATGTTTCTTCTATGATGAATTGACTATTTAAGAAAGCTCAGTTGCTATTCAGGAAGATCTGTGTGTGTACATATATATTTTTTCACGTGACTTGTAATAAATCACTTCTGATGTCACTCAGTCCACTTAAGCAATAACAACAAGACTGAAGCCAAAATATATTCAGATACAAAAAAATTCTCCACACAATTCTGGTCTTGCCTTCATTGACTCCCTGAAAGCACTAAACTCTTTCACATGGTCAAAGACTGGCAAAGTGGGCTCAGTCACAACACAAAATTGAAGACTTTGCTTCTTTGAGACTCTTGGGACAGAAGCTCTGGAAATGTGCCTCCTGAGGGATTTAAAATAAAACTTCAAGAGAATGAGAGCAGTTACGGCTTAAACAGGTTACCAGGAGGCTGGAAATTACCTTCCTTAGAGAACAACTTTAAACGGAGATCCGATCCCCATCTGTCTGAAATGTTGTAGGTATTGTGCAGCCTGAAGGCAGAAGGAGAGCGTCAGTCAACATTTATTGAGTGCCCACTGTGTATACTGCTATGATTACAGCGGCAACCGCAACCGTAAGAATCATTCTTAACGCTCTTCAGAGCATTTTCTTGTACATTAAAGCGAAGCTCTCCTGGTTCACTTAATTGCTCAACATGCTATAGGTATGTTAATGGTGCTAATTTTGACACTAACCATTATTCTGGGGGTGTTTAAACAAGCAGCCAATATCTTTTAATTTGGCTTACAAGAGCCATTTTTTCACCAAAAATCCATTTTTCTAATTGACAAGCCACAATCTAACTCCAAAACATTTTGCACTTCTTTTAAACTTGATTTTGAGTACTGACAATGACTTTAGGAAGTTTTGGGAGGAAAGAAGGAAAAATGACAAATGCCACACTCTTAACCTTCTGCTTTTCCAACATAAAACATGCCATGGAACATAAGGTTTGTGTATGTGGAGGCTGAAGGCAGGAAGAGGGGCAGGCTGTGGGGTAGAGGAAGCAGCTTTCAGGGAAGTAACACTAAGTGAGAAGTAAGAGGAAGTGAATTAAGTCCTTGCCTCTGCCAGTAACTAGTACTTTTACTCATACTTCCACATCCTAAATTTTTTCAAGGCTAAAATACATGGACTAGACTATATGATTTCTAAGATCTCTTCTGGTTCTAAGATGACCCATTTTTCTATTTGCTATTTGATTTTTTCCTTTTTATATTTCTACCAAGAAGAACTTTAAAGTTTGCAACAGAAAGAGTGAAGGTGTACTGCCTTCCTACTAAGTAGAAGAAATACCAACAAAAATTCTTAGCATCCAATGAGAAATTGAGTAAATGCATCTTACCATCTTTTAATCTCTCCCTTTGCATAAATTGGCATAGGAAGCCAGTACTGGGCAAGCTATGGCTACAGACAGATGTCAGTACTGTTTAACCCTAACATAATTAAAAGTTCAGTGACATTACTAGAAGATTGAGTATAAAAGATATCAATAAAGTCCTTGCAAATTTTCCAAACCTAGCAGAATTTTTAGAACCTTTGAAGCATTCAAAACCTAATCTTAATGGTATATTACTAAGTATATTAGTCAGTATGGACTAATACTATAACCAACATCTGCCATGTTCAAGTGGATTACATCATAAATGTTTGTTTCTTGACCTTGCCATGGTCCAGTGTGCATTGAAAGAGAGACTGTTCATGCAGTCAACCTGGGATCCAAATTCCTTCCAATTGGTGGTTCCACTATACCTAGTGACTTGAAGTCCTTTCCTTCCTACTGCATATTTGGGGAAATGAAGAGAGAAAGTAGAGGATCATGTTGGGAGAATGTGGGATAGGACTGGAAATAGGCATACATCATTTTAGCCCCAAATGGCTAGAAACTGGTCACTTCACCACACTGAATTAATTGTAAGGGAGACTGGGAATTGTCTAGCGGCTGCCCTAGGGAAAAGACAAGATGGCACTGGTGATCATCTAGCCAGGCTGTCACAATATTAGACAACTGAGAAAAAATAAAATCTAAACAACGAAATCCCCCAACGTGGGAAAAGATTTATGAAAACCTCACCAGAAGCAGAGGTATGTCACAGAATTCCCAGCTCAGCTTTTCCTTATTTGAAAGGAACAGACAGTCTGGGCAAGAGCTAATCTCAGCATGTCAGCTATCCACTTTCCAATTATTTAGAGCCTTCAAAATATAGAATTCAACCTCCGTGCCCTTTGCCAGTCAATTTGTGGACTGGGGTTTCCCAACAGCCATAAAGTCGTTACCTTTAAGACAATAATCCTTCCTGACATCTTCCAACCTTTTGGTGACCAATATCCAAATGACCTTACTTACAGGCTCTCCTTACCGGGATAAAATCACTATTGCTATTCTTCAGTTACAAGAAGAGGGCAAGCTGCATATGATGAAAGAGAAGTGGTGGCGGGGGAATGGCTGCCCCGAGGAAGACAGCAAAGAGGCCAGTGCTCTGGGAGTAGAAAATATTGGGGGCATCTTCATTGTTCTGGCTGCTGGACTGGTCCTTTCTGTATTTGTAGCCATTGGAGAATTTATATACAAATCACGGAAGAACAATGATATTGAACAGGTGAGTCATCTCTTTCTAGGACTAGGTAGTTTTTAGTTGGCGTGATCTGTCTTAAGTTTGGGGGGTTTAAAGATGCCTGCCCTTTCTTGTAACAGTCTATTGCATTAGATGCCTAGAAGAGCCATTTCTGAGTTAGAGCAAAGAGCTATTGAATCCCTGCCAGGTGCTTCCGGCACTGCAGCCCCATCATTTATTAATGAGAAGAAGGAAGCGCCTTATATACTAAATCCAATTAGCACTATTTGGAATGGCAGTGCAGAAATTCCAAACTCAGTTAATTTCTTGAACAGTTATTTGCTCTTAAGATAGAAACCCTAGATAAATCAAGCAAGAAATAAATCCAAAATTGGAAAAGATATAAAAAGATCTTTGAGAGAAATGTTACCATCCTTTAAGTCTAGATGCTGAGCACATGTACTAATGCAAAGCAATTTACATAAAGATATAAATGTAGCATTTTGAAACTGAGCATTTACCTCCCTCAAAATATGATTTGTAAAAGGATAATTCACCAATTTTGGGGGACCAGGAATATGATAAATTATACAGAATGACCATGAAATATATTAGAGACTTTATTTTTCCAAATTGTATTTAGGATTATAGTTGATTTCAACAGTCAACCATTTTTGCCTGTCACTTTTATTTTTGATAAAAATCACACCAGAAACTTACACCAACCTGAATAAGATGATTGTATTAAAGAGAATTCCTTCATAAGCATACTAGAATAATTAAAGTACGAAGTTCATGCCCATTGTGGTGCACTAGGCCATCCATTCAATTTAAAGTTATTGTTAGAATTTTAAGACTATAAACAATTAATAACAGGGCTGGTTTAATGCTCAGCTGTCACTGTCCTGAAATTATTAATAATTTTTGATCAAGGGGTTCCACATTTTCACTTTGCACTGGGCCTCGCAAATTATATAGCCAGTTCTGATTAATAATCTCATACCAGTCCCACCTCCTTTAAGTGCAAACTCTCCTTACAGTCCCAAAGCTGGGGGTGATTGATTATAACTTGGTTTTATCATGAAAATTTTCCCACAATAACAAGGCAATTGTGAGAATATTAAGCACCCCTTTCTTAGCTTTTGTTAGAGAAAACTATCTTTGCTTAAAAGGGAAAATGGACTGCTCTGCTTTGTTTTAACTTTCAATTTGCTCTTGAGGTGTCTTGTTTTATGCAACTAATTTGAAAAATAAAAGCTTGTATATGTTATGCTTTAATGTGCTTCTCATAACTGCCAGCTTCATTTTATTTAAATTTTCATTTAAACATTCATTTTTGCCTCTGATTTATTCATTTTTTTCTATATTTTTCTCATTTCTTTTGCATGCAAGGCTTTTTGTTTCTTTTATGGACTGCAGTGTAAGCAAACCCATCCAACCAACTCCACTTCTGGAACCACTTTATCTTCGGATTTAGAATGTGGCAAATTAATTCGAGAGGAGAGAGGGATTCGGACACAGTCCTCAGTTCATACTGTGTAATCTGTTAAAGGAAAAAAACTGCTCAGTAGAAATTGTTTCTGCTATTGGTGTTGTTGATGATATCTGTGTCTACTAAGCATAAATAGCCATAATTCCCTATCCCTTTAAGATAGCAAAACTCATGGACTCTAGACATTGAATTCAATGCACTGAGAACAGATGTGCATTCTGTGTTGAAACTGAGGTGTACTAAGGGTATATAAACTCCAAGATAAGTGTATTTTCCAGAATCTGCTATACCTTCTAAACAATGGTTATCTTAGTTCTATATTCACGCATTAAAAATAAACAAGTCTTTCCTCATGAAAAAGTAGATCCAGACTTTCCACAGTGCAAAGCATAAAAACAAAATGCTAATATTGTGGAACTGTTTTTATCTTTGTGGACCTTTCTTTCTCCTCTTTCCCTCTCCCTTCCCTTATGTTCTGTAGATCCACACGTTCAAACTACCTGAAGCCCTATCTTTTTGTAGTAACTGCATAACAATGTTGATATTCAACTCAAATTGATTCCACTATTTAAAATGTATTATTTACACAAAGACTCAAAGATGTCTTGGATTTTAAAAATTGAAAAACGTGATCCAGAAAGTGAAAACTAAACTTGAAACCTCTGGCATCACAGAAGAGCATTAGCTAAATTGAAAATCACTCAGGAAGGCACAACACAGTCAAGAATGATCCCTGGGTAGAAATTCATTTTCATCAAGTTCTCACATAACATTTACTTGACAATCCTCTGTAGGTTCAGATCATAGTATGCTCAAAGTCTCTAAGTAACTGTGATTTTTTTTTTCATGTTACAGATTGTTTCTTGCAAGCTCCAAACAAGATCCTAAACTAGGAACTAATGCATAACATCTTCTATTTTCCACTTACTCACTCTCACTCTGCATTGACGAACACATTTTCACGAGATGTTATTTTATTCCCTTCCTACTCACCCAGGATAGAGTGGTTGTTCTCATACCAATCTTTTCTGAGCATTGCCACTGTCACACTCATTTCTCTGGACCCTTCGTCATTATCAGTTCATTCCAAGTATATTGGGGAGAAGGGCAAGAAGCAGAAAATAGAAGAAAAAATTTCCATACACATTAGTTACAGATCTCTGTAGATTTATTTTCCACCTGCATTCAAAACGTTGTAAATAATTCCCACTCTAACTGAGCTTGGTGACATAGAAAACCAACTGCATACTTAATTTGTTGTTATGAAGGATGTCTGCTATCCCTCTGAGCTTCTTTCCTCTTCACGGTGAGTAGGGGAATTAAAGATGCCTTTCATCTTCCCTCAGTATGGGATCAGTTGGTCTTCATTCTTCTTAACGGATTACCTTTTGACATACGAAGTTAGCCCCCAAAACATATTTCTCAGAAGTAAAGATAAGCCATCTGTGCAATCATGTAGCATTTTGCCTTCTCTTTGCTTAACTTTAAATGGGTTCCAAATTTTGAACCACAGGTCTCTCCAATCAACGTTATATTTCTCCAGTAAAGCATGTTTAGGAAAGTTGACTCTTGCCCTGATTGTTTCTCAGTCTTGCTTTCTTCTTTAAATAAATGTACTTTTAAAAAAAAATCTATAAATTATACCAACATTTATTTACTATTATTGAAGTGAAAGCAACATACTTTGTCCTAGGTCAGGGTTTGCATCTTCACAATCAATAGAGTCAAATGTTGGGATAAATATTTTATTATTCATAATTCATTTATTCTGTATATAGAAATCACAAATTACGTAAGTTTATATTTCTAAGGGCTATTTAATAAATCAAAGATGCTACCAAAAAGTATAAGGGTGAGTGATAAAGTTTGGATGATCAAGGTTAGCAATAACAAAATTCACTTTCTACAGAGCTATCTTTTAAAAGTGTAATTCAGAGGTTTGGATAAAATTAATATTTGTGTGCCACTTAAAGCTGCATACCACCCACTTCTGATATTTATATGTTATTTTATGGTTTTCAAATTGTTTTGAAATGTTTGAAATGATACAGCATTACATTTAATCCTCTCAACAATTTTATTTCAGCTTTACTAACAGAGAAATAGATATTAGTCAGCAGCCTGGAGTCCTAGATTTTAGAATCAAAAGAGAATTTTCAAAATCAACAGAACTTAGGTGCCGGTTCTGGTACAGACACATGCTGAATGACCATAGACAGGTGACTGAATTTCTTAAAGCCTTGGTTTCTTAATATGTAATACCAGGACATAATATCTAGGTCCTACAGGTGTCTTGAAGGAATATCTTTCCCAATGGGTCCCACTGGCAAGTGTTACTCAAATAAGATTTTCCTGGTCAAGGGATCCATGGAGCATTACTCTAAACATTCCTTTACTGGATGATATCGCAGTCTGTTTAAGAAGCTATGATGCATTGGGAATTTTCAACATGATTGGAAAGTATTCAGTATTTCCCAAACGTATTAGATAACAGAATCTATTTTTCCCCAGAAGCATCTTGATGGACCATTGTTCTACAGATCATACTCCAGGGAACACGGGCATGATAATGTGTATCTCATCCAGTGATCATGTACAAAACACATTAGCCATGCCTGGCACATAGCTGTCATTTAATAAAAAATAGTTTTGATCATTGGGGGTAATTTTCAATTTCTCTGAGCTTCAATTTCCTCAATTATAAAATGAAGGTAGTCTGTTGACCTATATTTGCTATGAGAATTAAATGAAATAATATAATGGCATAGAAAATGAGATCATTTATAAGAATTCTGTTAAAAGATACTGGTTAACAGATGTTAGTTCCTTACAGAGAAATTAAACATTGTTCTCTGGTCAGGTGGACAGTAAGTACAATTTATCATGCATCTTAATACAGAGTCATTTTGTAAAAGAGGTTTTCCAATTTAGAGGTTCAAACCATATCCAAAACCACATTTCCTCATACAAGCATTAAAAATCAAGGGCAATTTCATTGCACCCAAGAGAAGGACCCAAATCGGCAATAAGTGAGAATCTAGTAGAAGTTTTGAACCTCGTTTCTAGAAATTCTAATTTGATTATTCTGGAATGGAGGCAGGACAATAGTTTTTTGGGTTTTTTGTTTTGTTTTGTTTTGTTTTTTAAGATAACCAGTTGATTCTATTGTGTAGTAGTGATCTAAAGCATAATCATGCATATAATTGAGATTCAGTAAGTCACTGATGTTTATTGATGCTAGAGGTATGACCACTAATTCTAAGCAAGATATATAGCACATATTTGGCATTCAATATTCAAAAGATCCTCTCTAGAGACAACTCAAAAAGAAACTGCACGTCTTTGAGACAAAAATTTCATTCTATCCAATTGATAACCTTCATATTTAGTTATAGGTGTTGGCCTACTCAAAATGATCAAATAGGAAGTTTAATTGGTCTCAGCACCCTTTTTCCCCTTGAAGGACCTCCATACATTTCAGAAATGTAGGTTCCTTACACTCTCTTCTTTTTCCTTTTATACATGCCCTAGACAACCAATTCTTGACGTCGAG